ATCAATTTCTGTGCTCTAACACCTCAGTAAAACTGTAATAGGAAATACATGCGACAACTCATCTGAGAAAGTAATGTGGAATAAGCTGCAGGCTTTCAGAATTATTTCAATGAAAAGCAACCTGAATTTCTCAAAAAGAAAAAAAAAAGTAAAAAGTAGGAATAAAGGCTACGATGATTTATTAACTGAAGTTGTGTACCTATTCACAGCTAACTTTGTCAGATTCACTTAATTTCATTCATACATTGCTGTGAATGTTGAATTTTGAGACTTCTGTTTTTCAGTGTCATTTTTTCTGCATATTATTCCAAGAAATGTCTCCTGCATTTACATGGTAGCACTGCTAACCATTGCAAATAGCACCATAGCTACAGGAAAAAGATCTTGAAATATGAAAATCTGTGTGAGAAAAGTTGCAAACTCCACAGGAAGATTATTCTGACACATTATTCAACCAGCAAAGCTATCAGCCAGGAAAACAGATCAAGTTTTTAGCCACTATTTCCTAGGTGATACCCAGCCATTTTCCACAAAGGTGAAGATTTCAAACTGCCATTATTTAAAGCTGTTTGGATTGTTGTGAAAGCACAATAAAGTGCTACAAAGACATCTTTAAAATGAGTTCTAGCAATAAATAGCATAGAGAACATACCCCTCTTTCTCAGATGTATTTTGGAAAATATAAAATATTTAGAAATAATTGAGTAATTACAATAAGTAAATACAATCTAGATCAGTTTAGGGGTAGGAATGTACATATTTGTGTTTGGAAAAAGAACCTTGAAACATGGATTTGAATCTGTGAATCTAATACAGACATCTTTTTTTGCCCTTAGGATGCAAGTATGGCTGTTAGGAATCCTGATTTCAGTGTTTGTGGGAGAAAGGAAAGTACCCCATAACTGTCCACACCTCTCTCAAAGTTTTTAAAGTATTTAAAGGAAAGGACAAAATATACTTTACAACATATGCTTTTCTAAATTGTGATAAAAAACCCATACAGAGATACAATGAAAATTTGGTTTGAAGAATGGATAGTCATGTTCCCTTTCTACTGTGGGAGGACTGAACTGAGGTGAATTGAATACAAGCCTTGGTTCTGGAGAAAACTCTGTGCCTTTCTCAGTATTTGCTGAGGTGACAAATCAGAGCTTCAGTGTACCCCGGCAGTACACAACCAGCTACATGTTTCCACACACCAATGTCATATCCCAAAACACAACCTTGGGCTTCAGCCCACAACAACGCAGCACTCCTTAATGCAGAGAGACTGGGAGTTTGTGGTTTGACTGTGCTGCCACACCATCGGACATGGGGGAGTGAAGCCTGGGGGTGGGGCACAGCACAAGCATAGGTGGCAACAACGGAATGAAAAACAGAAATGTCTCTTATGCCTTTTCCAATTACAAAACTCTAAAATGTCCTGCTTAGGCCTTAAATAACTACTGATTTTCTCTCTCACCGCTCTTCAAAAGAAATAGAGACTCAGAATGGCAACATTTCTTTTTTATGAAAAACATTACTTGTGCAGTCCCAAGTGCTGTCAGGTGCCTGGACAGAGCCACAAATACATACGCAGACAAATATATATTTCCAGACAGTTAATACCCCACACCTTGAGAAAGATCAGAAGGGAGGAGGGTCCTAGCTGCTTCCAAGTAAGTGTTTGGGGGAATTTGATTGTCCAAAATACAGGTACTCAAAAATATTCAGGGTCTAGTTTTGGAGGTCCGGATCATAGTCTCTCAGAAGCCTATCTGATGGAGAAAACCAATGGTATGTATCTCACTGTACCTATGCTCTATAATGCAGACTCCGTAGAGATCAAGCTAGCATTTCCTGAGCTGGCTAGCCAGCTTCCAGAAATGGAAGCAATACGTTATACGACCACATCTATACAACAGTATCTCATGAACCTTGCTGGGTGCTACTTTTCCTGGACAAGGTGCTTTATTTTGCAAGTTAAGCTGCTTTATTTTGCAAGTTAAGCTGCTATTAGGACTTTGCTTCCACACTGCCCTACTCCCTTCCAGTAGCACCAGTCCATTCAGAGCTATCTCCAGGCCTCAGACACCAACGCTACGTAGTGCAGGGAAAGCCATGTTTGCCAGGTCATAGAGGGGCTAGGTAAAGTCAGAAAAAAAGAGAGATGTTTTCTCAGTAACCTTGCCTGTAACATTTTTACATTGAAAAGAATATTTAGATTTTGTGTATCTAAGCATAAACATGTTGTCTAAACCAAAATTATCCTACGGATAGTTCTAAAAGACTTTCAGCATTTAATAATCTTTGACTTTTTTCTGTATGCGATTTGTAAACAGTGATTACATTGCTATTTAGCAACACTTAAATGTTGAAAAAATAGTGTAAAAATGCTTATTAGAAAACTTCCAACTAAAAGATATGCCCTCATTATGATGATCTCATGGTAAAGTCAGCAATTATTATGAGACATCTCAACACAATGACATTTATTTTAAGCCAAAGACCATATTGCTCCTGTGGTGTGCATGTTAGATGGTAGGAAACATGATAAAAAGAAAGGTCATGGCAACAGCAGTTTGATGAGAAATGAATAATTTGATTATTTTCATGGTGTGGATCAATAATGCTCTGCATCCAGTGAAACACATTGCCTGGAGGCACTCAGATAATCAATGGCATAAAACAGAGCCTGCCTTTACCCGGGCTTGCAGCCTCTCTGATCTTTCTTGGGAGGACCCTTGACGCCTCTAATTTATGTCAACTGCATATCAAAGAAATTCCAAAGAGCCTAGGTCATAAAGGGTATTTTAGTGGTAACCATTTGAAGTCTACTTACATATGTTCCTATGTAACTATGTTTATGTACTTCCCCTCCAATGCCTAGGAATTCCTAGAAAGGCATACTTTCTACCTCATACTAAGATAATAGTCAGTACCTTAGAAAAGGAAGGCTGGATAGAACGGGCAAATCTTCTAACCCTCTTTTCACTGCAAGCTGACAATAGCCCAAAGACAAGAATTTCAGTCAATGGGACATGTAAATAAACCCTCTGCACCACCCAAGAATTCTCTTTAATGATGTGCCGGACGCTGACATTTTTAATTTAATAGAGCAGCCACTGGAAAAAATTAGTTCTGCATGATACTGGGGAGAGACAGTTGAAGACATGATTTTGTTCAGTAATTTCTCTGTTCTTTTGCAGTGGAAAAAGGGAGCTGGCATCTTCTAGCTGCCAAAAACTCTTAAGTCTAGGATACTTATTTCATTCTGTCTGTGGAGCTATTTTTCCCATCAAGGCTTTGCCGGCAAGAATAATTCCCAGTGTTCGCTGTAACAGCATTTACTCCTTTTTTAACAAGTTTCAGCTGCCATATTTTGAACACTTGTATACATGCACCCAAACACATTACACACACATGCATGCTTGCAGGCATGCAGTCAAGATTGCTTCTCTATCTTCCTTGAAGCTTTCTCAAAGTACATTTCTCTTTTTCCTTTTAGCAGTTGACTTTCATAACACAAAAGACGGTGTGTAATCCTTTGTAAAGAACTAGAAAAGTGCTCACCAGCAATTAGAGGAATACAGACTGTAGTACACAGTTTAACTGATGAGGTAGTAAAACTTGTTTTCAGCATCAAGATCATTGATTTTTCTATAGCAGCTGAAGACAGGATAAAATTATTGCACTTATTAGATCCTTGTTGATTGTTCAACATTAGCTAGATCCACAAAATAAATATATGTGTAAAATTGATCAGGTGATTCAGGGTCAGATCTAATTCCCAAGGTCAAGTAACTCTTTGAACATTCTCTAAGTACATAATCTTAGCACAATCCTTCAAAGAGACTCACACACTCTTTTCGTCTGTTGGCTCTTATAAAACACTAATGTTTAGGAGATTAAGTGGAGTCAGCTTTAACAGACAGAGCAATTCCTCCTAAGTGCTCAGCCTCCCCTCAAACTGGAAATTGTCTAAGGCTCAGTTTGCAAAATGGTTTTTCTAACTTTACAATTGACCTGGAAATTATTATTCCCTACCAGTTGAAATAGTGGGTTTTGCAACTGTCTTCCATAAAGCACTGCAAGGAATGTAAGGCAATGGTTTTGAGCATGAAGTTTCTTAGACTAAAAACCTGTTTCCACAGGCTGTATCCAATCAGAAATTTGCAAGCCTGATAGATATGCTTATGATGGCCACCACAAGCTGGACATTTTGTTCATGATAGCTAGAAGAGAAACAATCCCTGCAGGCACATTTAAAGATTTAAGATCAGAGACTCTGAACCTCCAATGACTTATAGTTATTTGTGCTGTGCTCCCAGGCCTCTTGATCTGTCTTCTCTCAAAAGAGACGTGATTACTCAAGCCGAGGTGGAGCTGGATTACCTTAGCCTCTCTTCTTCTAATGACAAAGTATTAAAACTTACAGGCATTCTTAGCATACTCCAAGTAGGAAAGCTATATAATAAAAAATTCAGTATTTTTTTCCTTTTTTAGCATTGTGATTTTACACAAATCCTTGCCCTTGTGTTTTCAAAACCATTATATATAAGCAAGAACATAAATATATAGAAAATCACCCTGGAAGTAAAACTGAAGTATTTTTATTTTTCTATTTTTTAAAATTTCTTTTAAATAAAGCAAAGTAGTCTGTCATAGTAATGACATGCCATACCAATCACTTTTACCCCAAAATATTCAAAACTCTCAGAGGGCAGATTTTACATAGAATATTTGTGAGCACCTCAGGCTGTGGGTGTAGCCTGTGGGTGTATTTTGAAAATCCATGTCAGCAAAAATGTATAATGCTCTTTTTAGTTCTCTAGATACTTTTAAAGCTAAATAATTGAACACAGTACACTAAAAGAGTTACCACAGTAGTGAATACCAAACCTGTTTGTACAGAAGACATAAATCCTTCCGACCCCCTCCCTCACTCACATGTACACACATGAACAATCACTCTCACACACACTCAGGAGCAGGCATCAGTTCAGGCAAATGCTCCTTACCTGATCGCATCTCATCAGCCCTAAATATCTGAGAGACTTGCTGCTTTGTGCAATTTGGGTGGCTCCGTGGTCTGTGATTTCTTTGCACCATCCAACATCCACTGTCTCTATTGTCATGCTGTACCGTCCAATGGCTATCAGAGCTGTAAAGATATTAAAGATAAGAACTGTGTAGCTCGTGCAGATGGTAAGCTCAGTTCTATGTGTACACTAAATAACGTTGAAATTAAATTTTGAGAAGCAGTTGTCATGCACGTTGTAACAGCTCTTGCATTTCAGCCTTTTTAACTATGAAATAGCTGTCTCTTCAAATTAGGAATAAACACATGTGTAGCACATAGAAACACATAGATAAACAGATCTTCCTATATATTTTTTATCACTCAAGGTAAATAGACCAGTCATCAAGATATTCAATAGGAATTCTTTTAATGACTTTTTATTGGAAGAATTAAGCATCAATTAATTGAAATTGAAATAGCTATAGAATAACAACAATTCTACCTCACTCTTCAGACAAAATAACATTTTATACTACTAACGCTTTTTTTTCAGAAAAGTCATATTGCAAAGACAGCACAAAGAGTAACAGGACATCTTCTCTGTCAATAAAACAAATGGTTTTAGAAAACCCTGCAGGTATATCATGTCATACATTTTATAACTATATTCTGAAATTGCATTTGTTTCCCATTGTTCATATTGATGATGTAATAACAACAATATGTCTCACTTTCTTCTTCATGAACAGTTTTCAAATAAAAAATAAAAAAAAAATTGGGAAGGCCAGGAAGAATTAAAACAAAACGTTGAACCTTTACAAAAGGAAAGAAAAGAGGATCTGGAAGTACTGACAGGACTGAAAAATAGTAGGTAGGAGAACCCACAAAGCATCTGAACAGGTTGAGAAGGCTTTGTCATGACAGGGCCAGTCTGGAATCACAGAAAGGACACAAATCACTAGCACCCTGGTCACCATGGACAAGAACACTTTTCAGGAAATACTGGCTAGGAAACTGTTTAGTAATGTTGGGATTTATTAACAAAAACGAGTAATGGCCTTCAGCTGCTAAAATCTCAGCTCAAGAAAACAGTCTAAGGTTTCCGGTGTAGAAGTCAGCCATATGTATGTAGCCAAGGGATGGGATGTTAACAGTTTTTAACTCTAGTTGTCATGCAGTTGCAGAAAAGGAACATGAATGAGTAACTTCATCCAAATAATGCACTTATCTTTAAAGAAATGATTTTTTCACCAGCTGTGGGCCAGTTCTGTTCATGCCACAGAACCTACTGATGAAAAAAATTAATAAAAAGGAGTTATGAAAAAAAAAGGAGTTATGAAAGCTATGAAGATAGCTGTTAGCTCTTGCTATGCCAGATGTCAATCTTAGCTAATCATGATGTAACTGAGATCTAGAAGCAAAAAGAAAGAACCCACCTGACCTTGCAGTGATTCTGCAAAGTCCTGTACTGGTTGCAGACAGCAGTAAAGATAATTGGATAATTTATAAATATTTAGGTCGACTTGTTTTGCAAACAAAATGAGCCAAAAGAGGCCAAATACAGTCTCAGAAGCTGTGGAAAGTGCATCATTTTTTCCTTGCAAGAGTTCACCAAAAAGGGCAATGATAATTGAATTTTGTAACTGACGTAATGAACTTATGATACAATCATCTGTGTAGTTTCATTATGGTTTCATTGATTTTTGTAGGTCATTACGAACTTCCTGTTGTCTTACCAGTTCATCCCTAGAAAACAAGCCCTAATTTTGCAAATACATAAATATATGTATGGCAGAACATAAACCTTGTACTTTTTTATAGAGCCCTTTTACAATATCACTGTAATAAAAATTACAGAAAGAGTCAGAAACCTTTGCTTATATTTTGCAATGACAAAAGCTATAGCAATTATAGATTATTGTAGCTCCTTACAAAGTGTTATAGACTTGAAGTAGTGCAGGAATACTGAAAGCCTGCCATTAGATTAGAATATTGTCAGTTAAACAAAATTTCAGGCTCTGTTTGTATTCGAATATTTTTGGCTAGCTTTTGTAAAGTTGCAATCATATTCTGTCATTTTCAATGCTTTATGTAAACATGATAAAAAAAAGAAAATCAACAGAGAATACTTTTATGGTAATGACATAAAAGATCATCACATCACACTGGCAAAGAATTACCCTAGTAAGGGAAATTAGATATATAATTTCTCAGAGTTCCCTCGGAAGACTTAGATTAGACAGAAAGTAGGGGATGATGCTATTGAAAGGCCAAAAAGGTGTGTTAAACTGTGTGCAGAATAGAGTAAAATATAACCTAAGTGTCATTAGTCCAAGATGCTACCCTGAATGTGTCAAAAAGATGGCTTAAAGAATGAAATTTCATGGAGGCATCTTCACATTCACATGTTAAACAAATAGGAAGAATAAAAGATTCTCTGTCTTATTCATATATCCCATTTTAACAGAATATATGCAGAAAACTAGTTTATAACAAAACAGAATTTAAAACATGTTAATTGATTGTTTGACATGCTACTCTTTGTATTTTGGCATTTTGAGGGGGATGAAGCATTTAATTTCTAGAGTAGGACCTTAATTAAATATCAAGTTAATTTTATGGATTTTTTTATATGAAGATAAAAATATTTTTACTTTTTACATAATGGAAAAAGGACATACTAGTTTTCGAAATAATTACAAACTACTTATCAGATCATGAAGCTTTTTTGCAAAACTGGCCTTCACTACTTTTCTTAACACCTATGCTTTAACCAGCCAATTGCTACTAGTGTTACTTCTCTGCAGTATTAAAAGAAAGAAAAAGATCTTCCCTGAGATTTGGAAAGCATAAGTTTCCATAAATCAAAGTGCATATGTATGATTTTTGGATTACATTTTCATTACTATATGCTGTCAATTTTCAGGAAAGCCAGAACACAACTTTAATGATACCATGAGACAACCATCACATTATTCGGTACAAGTAACAATACTTAAAAGAACAATACAAAATGGAATGAAAAACACTCAGGATGTTACATATCAATATGTTACATAAAAAATTAGAATGGAAACAAAAAAAATCCCTCCTGTGACATTTGGGGAGCAGGACTTTCTAAGCGAAAACATTTTGCAGTTCAGAAGTTCCAAACTGATTTTCAGACAACTTTTAATCTGTTGTCTTCACCTGTGTTCCACGTTCATGTATACGCAAATAACTGAATGAAATTTCATGCTTTAATTAACTTGTGTGTCTAATCTGTGCATCAGGTATATCTTAGGCTAACCATATACCAGGGTATACTTTAGACTAGGGACTGGTGAATGAATAGTACTTTTGTCTGGCTGGTCTCTCCCTTGCAGCATTCGTCACTGCTTCAAAGTACTGCCTGATACAATTGCGAAGCACAACCTCTCTTAACAAAAGCTGTGTCAACTCTTCCTGGATATGTCATATTTATTCATGTGTTCACTAATCATATCCCACATTACTACTAATTTGCTTTATACAGATGTCAGGTTTATCAGTTAGTATTTTTCTGCATCTTATGTGAAACCTTTTTTTTGAAATACCTCTCCAAAGTAACCCTGTGACAGTCAAGCAGGTTTAAGTGAAGGATTACACGGTGCAGCTAGAAGCTTGGCTATTTCATCCTGGAGTTTTTTTAGAAGCCTTGAGTGGACACAGTTCTTCCACTTGTATGAGTGAAATACTTTAAGCTGCAAGTTTCAGTTAAGAAAATGTTTGCATAGCTCAACAGCTTTTCTTCCTTTCTGCACTTGTCCACAATAATCAGAATGTATTTCTATTCTCAGAAAGGCTGTCAGTAATTTCACAAGGAAACATACAGTAAAAACCCTACAAAGTAAGTTTGTATTCTGTGACTTAGGAACAATCAGCTGTAAAGAACAGCCAAAGGTGTGTTTCAATACTAATGAAAGCCGCGATTAAAATCATAGTGAGCGACTGAACGGAAGAACGTGATGCACTGAAAGTAAGTAGAGGTGGGTGCACTAAAACTCACCATGTAGTTTAAAGATGATGGCTTTGACATATGAACCTCTCTACATGTGAATGTTTAACAGTGCATCCAATTCTTTTCTCTCCTTTTATAAACTGCCATTTATTTTGGCAAAAACAAGGTTTCGTTACTTTTTTCCCCAGCGTTAGGTTGGTGGAATGGAAAATGACCTCTGCAGCCTAGAGCTGTATTAAGCAAAAACGTTTTCCAGTTGTAATGATATTTTGTTGTAGCTGAGAAGGTGAAAGGACATATGCAGGACCAGGTTTGCAAGCAGAGGTAGCATCTTTTAGATGACAAGCTGGAATAGTTGGAAGAATAAAACAAATCTTGTCCTTAGTGCACCACCATTAAAAGCAAATAGTGATTTAACCTCATTTTATTTTACACTGATTAAGTTAAACGGACATAGCTAAATGCATCTGCTACTACAGGCAGAAATGACTGCTTCAGTTAGAGACGAAAGATCTCTGTTTAACTGTATGTAAACTATGAAACCAATGGTTGCAATGAGGATGTGGTCATGGTTAACTCTGTCTGGACTTGATGTAGGCAGGCACCGAGCTCTTGCATCTAACAAAATCGGTGGGGATGAGACTGCAATATTTATTTTGCAGGACTGTTTGGGAAACTATAGTTGGCTGTGTATCATCTCGAGGCTTTGCTCCCTTACCTCTCCAAAGTAACCCTGTGACAGTCAAGCAGGTTTAAGTGAAGGATTACACGGTGCAGCTAGAAGCTTGGCTATTTCATCCTGGAGTTTTTTTAGAAGCCTTGAGTGGACACAGTTCTTCCACTTGTATGAGTGAAATACTTTAAGCTGCAAGTTTCAGTTAAGAAAATGTTTGCATAGCTCAACAGCTTTTCTTCCTTTCTGCACTTGTCCACAATAATCAGAATGTATTTCTATTCTCAGAAAGGCTGTCAGTAATTTCACAAGGAAACATACAGTAAAAACCCTACAAAGTAAGTTTGTATTCTGTGACTTAGGAACAATCAGCTGTAAAGAACAGCCAAAGGTGTGTTTCAATACTAATGAAAGCCGCGATTAAAATCATAGTGAGCGACTGAACGGAAGAACGTGATGCACTGAAAGTAAGTAGAGGTGGGTGCACTA